AGGTACAAGTCAGTTGTCACTTTATTCAAAGAAAAATAAAAAACCATGTTTCTGAAGCTTTTTTTTTTGTTGAGAGAATTACACTATAATCTTCTGAAATTTATCACTTAATTATTTAGACCTCTTAATATTTAAAATATTATACATAGACCCTTTAAAATTTGTACGCGCATAACACGTATACCTCTGCCATCAATTTCCGTTATAATATCCATTAATAAATTACACTCAGACCTCCTAAAATTTTAGGCGTATAATATTTAGATTTCTCAAATTTAAAATATTATACTTAAACAAAAAAAAATCTCAAATTAAAAGATATAATATCAAACATTTTAAATTTTACAACCAAAATTTATGTTATACTATAACATTTATTGAATTAAAATCAAAAAAGAAAATCTAATTTTTCAAAAAAAATCTAATTTTTTTTAAAAAATCATAATTATTATAGAATTGTACTATCTATTAGAATTTAATTTGGTATTTTAAACGATCAAATTAAGCTACCAAATTATCCCAATTAAAACTAGAAAATATTGTGTCTATTATATTTTGACATATTGTTTGATTTTTTAGTTTTATTTCAATAGATAGTATAAATGTATATTAATTATGATTTTTTAAGAAAAAATATTAAATTTTTATTTTTAATTTTATTTTAATAAATGACATAATAAAACATAAATTTTTGTTATAAAATTTATGTTCTATTATGAATGACTTAGATCTCTTATTTAATTTTTTAATTTTGTTCCAATAGATAGTATAGTTCTATACTATTTATGATTTTTTTAAGAAAAAATTAAAATTTTATTTTAATTTTATTTCAATAAATGATATATTAGAACATGAATTTTGATTATAAAAGTTAAAATATTTAATATTTAATTAAAATATTTTTAGTCTACCCGTAATATTTTAAACTTAATTCTCCGCTTTTTAACTTTTTTAACACATATATATAAATCCCTAGATTCACGCCGTATACTCTGTACTCCATTTCTGTTTACAACCCCCTCCCTATTGTGTCGGTGTCCTGTTAGATTTCTTTAGATCCATAGGACTCTTGAGTCTTGACACAAGATACACACATGTACACGTAGATAGAGAGAGACAGTATGTGGTTCTTGGATTTCTTAGTAAGATTGAGATTTACGGTGATTTGGATCTTGGTATCGGAGCGATTCTGTGATTATTGTTGGAGGTGAGGGCTTGAACGGCATCGTTTGGGGGAGGAGTGAATGACGGATTTGGTAAGTAGGGTGCAGAATTCGGAGCGAATAAGGTGGGACTCTGCGTTTGTAATCCGAAGCCGGTGTCGGTGGGGCAAATGTGGCTGATTGTTTTGAACAATTTCAGTCTCTTTTAATAGAAGAAATCGACTGAAAGGAGTTCTCGGAACATAGTTTTTGCTGGGTTTTGGAATCTATCCTAGTAATAGCAATGCAGCAAGATCTCCGAAAGAAAGTGAGCTTTGATCTAATTTCAGAATTTCGAATTTATTTAATTTATTCATGATGTCGAATTAATTATGTGAGAAGCTGCTAATGATCTTGTTTGATTGTAAAATAAGCACTTGATGGGAAGCAGACTTTAAATTTTGTGTTTTAATTTAGGTTAAGTATTGAAGTTTATTCATGACAGTATCTGCGTACTGTTTTTCTGGAGTTTTATTTTCTTGTGGCTGAAAACAAAAAAATAAAATAAATTCTTGCTTAGTTATGTGGATTTACCTCTTTTTCAGGAATGAATTAACAAAAGACATGAATCCTATGCTTTTCCATGGGAGCTTCATGATACCATCTTTAGTGTGACCCACTCATCTCTATATTTTATTTGGGTTATGTAGCATTTTTCCTTTATAAATTATTATTTCTGTTTCTTTATCAGGACCTGATTATTTTTCTGCAAATTGGTTTTATATTTGAAAAATGATCAGTAAGTATTACTTTTTTTCTATAAATAAAAGTCTTATCATTTTTATTTTATATTAATGAAGTCCTATTTTTAATATTTTATTTCAACAAAGTCCTAATGTCATTATATTCTAATTTTACCTTTGACTTTTGGTTACAAAAACCCTTTCATTCTTTCTGGTATGTCACAACTCTGGCAACACACTCTCGGTGGGGCTTTTTAATTGCTATTTGTTCCCTTGCTCAACAACGGTGATGTGCTTTTTTTGGTGGAGATTATGGCTTGGATTTTTTTTTTGCCATTTTGTTATCACTTTTCACTTGTTGGAAAACTACTAGATCTATTAAATACACCACCTTTGTGTATCAACTGATATATAAGTCAATTTTATATTTTCTTGAGAGTGGATTAGTTGTCATCCCTTTTTGATGAGTTATTTTACTTATTTTTTTTTTAGAAATAATGTTGAGTTTTTATTGAAGCCACTATTATAGGCATATGGATGCTCAAATTTTGTTTAGGTAATAATATTCACTTCAATCGCGATTTTGAAAACACAAAGCACTAGAATTCTCATCGTGAAACTCTTCTCCATCGAGAATATATAAGGTCCAAAGCCCTCCATTGCATCCCATAATGGCAATTCTAAAAAATATTGGTAATTGAATTTTTCATAAAACTAGCCAGTAGGCAATACATAATTTAAAACACAAGAAGTTGGAGTATGTATGAATAGAAGAAGACTAATGTCATATCCCAATACCTTAGATGTCAATGTTTTGTCAAGAGAAGGATTGAACTAGAACAAAATATGGTATTTATGCAATTTAGGACTTCATTCAAATAAATTACCAAGACTAGGACTTCATTAACATAAAATAAAAATGATAGGACTTAATGGATGTTTAAGGGAAAAAGTAATACTTCTTAGTAATTTTCCCTTTTATATTTCCCCCTTTCTCTGGTCCTTAAGTTATTGTTTTTATTTTGAATCGGANTCAGGAATGAATTAACAAAAGACATGAATCCTATGCTTTTCCATGGGAGCTTCATGATACCATCTTTAGTGTGACCCACTCATCTCTATATTTTATTTGGGTTATGTAGCATTTTTCCTTTATAAATTATTATTTCTGTTTCTTTATCAGGACCTGATTATTTTTCTGCAAATTGGTTTTATATTTGAAAAATGATCAGTAAGTATTACTTTTTTTCTATAAATAAAAGTCTTATCATTTTTATTTTATATTAATGAAGTCCTATTTTTAATATTTTATTTCAACAAAGTCCTAATGTCATTATATTCTAATTTTACCTTTGACTTTTGGTTACAAAAACCCTTTCATTCTTTCTGGTATGTCACAACTCTGGCAACACACTCTCGGTGGGGCTTTTTAATTGCTATTTGTTCCCTTGCTCAACAACGGTGATGTGCTTTTTTTGGTGGAGATTATGGCTTGGATTTTTTTTTTGCCATTTTGTTATCACTTTTCACTTGTTGGAAAACTACTAGATCTATTAAATACACCACCTTTGTGTATCAACTGATATATAAGTCAATTTTATATTTTCTTGAGAGTGGATTAGTTGTCATCCCTTTTTGATGAGTTATTTTACTTATTTTTTTTTTAGAAATAATGTTGAGTTTTTATTGAAGCCACTATTATAGGCATATGGATGCTCAAATTTTGTTTAGGTAATAATATTCACTTCAATCGCGATTTTGAAAACACAAAGCACTAGAATTCTCATCGTGAAACTCTTCTCCATCGAGAATATATAAGGTCCAAAGCCCTCCATTGCATCCCATAATGGCAATTCTAAAAAATATTGGTAATTGAATTTTTCATAAAACTAGCCAGTAGGCAATACATAATTTAAAACACAAGAAGTTGGAGTATGTATGAATAGAAGAAGACTAATGTCATATCCCAATACCTTAGATGTCAATGTTTTGTCAAGAGAAGGATTGAACTAGAACAAAATATGGTATTTATGCAATTTAGGACTTCATTCAAATAAATTACCAAGACTAGGACTTCATTAACATAAAATAAAAATGATAGGACTTAATGGATGTTTAAGGGAAAAAGTAATACTTCTTAGTAATTTTCCCTTTTATATTTCCCCCTTTCTCTGGTCCTTAAGTTATTGTTTTTATTTTGAATCGGATTTCTTATTATTGTTGGCATAAAACATCCTTTTTACTCTGGCTGTTTTTTTTTTCGGATTCCAAAATTTAAATTTGTGCAGATGAATAGAAATGTTGTATATTGGAAATTGAATATTTACTGCTATCACGATTATGAATAATATTTTGTCTGTTTACTGGTATATGGGAAGAAAGCTATCTTTGATGTAACAACTTGCAAACTTTGTTGTCTCCATGGGAAAAAAAGATTAAAGGAGAAAGCAATCTGTTCATTTTTAAAATAATTAGAATATTGTATGCGAATTAATGTGGTACAATGTGGAGAATGGAAAGAGTTTTATTGCTAGAAGTAAAACTGAAAGAGTAAAAAAGGAAGCTTTGCAGGAAATATATCTATTTGATGGAAATTATTTATCTTTTAATTTTGGTGTGTGGACAATTTTATGCCATATATATCTTCACACATTTTCACCATTATCCCGAGTCACATTCTCCTCTCATGTTTTTTCTGTAACTGTATGATTGTCAAGACATTTATCCTTCACCCAATGATATATTTATCCTCTGTAGGAATTGAAAAAATGGAATGGGTGTTATGGGATAGAGAACTTGCACATTGATAAGGTTGATATGAAATGTCATAATTACTAGATCCATACTATTCCGAGTTTTTGTCCTACTGCAACCAGATTTATCTTTAAAGGAATGTTAAAGATGAATCATGAGAAAGAGAGACACATTCTAATATGGATGACATGCCAGCAATTAATTTTTATGAGCAGAAAAAGCTTACAAGTTGGAAATTAGTTAATAACTTCTCTATTTGTAAGAAAATAAGTTTTTCAGGTTTTTATATGTACTACGGCCATTAGAGTGGTCATTTCCATGTGTTTGCTCAAGGGTCTGGATTAATTTTATTTGATGTTCTATGCCACAGAGTTCAACAGAGATGGACTTTTTCTCTGAATATGGTGATGCAAATAGGTACAAAATTCAGGAGGTTATAGGAAAAGGAAGCTATGGTGTTGTTTGCTCAGCAATTGACACTTACACCGGTGAAAGGGTGGCAATAAAGAAAATCCACGGTATTTTTGAACACATCTCTGATGCGGCTCGAATTCTCCGTGAGATAAAACTGTTGAGGCTTTTAAGACATCCCGACATTGTTGAGATTCAGCACATTATGCTACCACCTTCAAGAAGAGACTTTAGAGATATTTATGTTGTTTTTGAGCTAATGGAGTCGGATCTTCACCAAGTCATCAAAGCTAATGATGATTTGACACGGGAACACTATCAGTTTTTTCTTTACCAGTTGCTTCGTGCTCTGAAGTATATTCATACAGGTGAGTGACTCCACTATTTTATTTTATTGCTTGGAGAATGTGGGTGACTGATCATTATCAGTCAGTACATTTATTTGTTTTCGTATGAGCAGCTGTCATGATGAGTATATAGTCATCTGGAAGATAACTACATTCCCTCTTTTTTTTGGGGAAAAAAACTTGATTGCTCTTTTAATGCTGACAGAAGGTCGCTGAATAAAACCTTGATTTTAACTACTATTTCATCCAGTCCAACATTTGAATTTAATGATTATTGTATTGGTAGCAAAAGATTATTGCTGCCTTAAATTAGTGGATACCTTTGTTTTCGTCATATGTTGTCAATTTTTAGATTTACACTTAATTGAACGACGGGGGTGGGGGATGTTGGTTGAGCTTGGAACGGAGAACACATCTGATGGCTAAGAATTTGGCTGCAGCAAATGTCTACCATCGAGATTTGAAGCCTAAAAATATATTGGCCAATGCAAATTGTAAACTCAAAATTTGTGATTTTGGGTTGGCGAGAGTTGCATTCAGCGACACACCTACAACAATATTTTGGACGGTATGGAATTGAGAATTTTAGTCTTTTGCAACTGGAATTTTCCTGCTTTTGTTGTTATCTATATATCTTGGAAAGAAAGTCCTTTTATGGCATGTTGGAAGTTGTAGTAATTTAAAGATAGTAACATTCACAGGATTATGTTGCTACAAGATGGTATAGAGCTCCGGAACTATGTGGGTCATTCTTCTCTAAGGTATAATCTTGCAAACTTTGTTTTGGATTCCTTTAAGTCAGCTGACAACCTCAACAGTGCATAATTTCTGATGCTTAGATGGAAATGTTTCCATTTTTTAGTGCATGCTTTCGTATCCGTGTCCGTGCTTCTTAGCTAGATGGACATATTTGCACCCTTACCTTGGCATTATTTAGTTTGGTTCCCATTAATCAATGGTTGTCGAGTCTTTGATGTTATGTGAACAGAAGTGAACTGGCTTGTCTGTTTTTTCTTTTTGGTCCCTGTTCTCTGCTTTTGGGTTCTCACTAGGTATGAAATGGGGATATGGATGGACCCTCTTCAAAAGGGAACTGTTGCTGGAAAACTTGAACTCCTGATAATGCCTTTTATAGTTTATCATGAGAAAAACAGCGCAATGAAAAGTTGAAAAAAGAAAAAAAAATGTACCAACTGAATTAGGACTTCACAAGATGTTTTAATAAACACTAGAGTTTCTCTTAGACTAATGATGTTCTGCTAAGATTGGACTTGGGGGACTTATGATATTATTGAAGGCTATACGTAAGAATATTGGCTGTTTGACTAGAAATGTCAACAGATTTTGTAAGGTGAACGTAAATCTTTTGAAGAGTTTATAGCTTCTTTATGATCAAATAATATTGGACTGCATTTGTTAACTGGTCTTGTGTTCTGTTTTCTGTCTAGTAGTCATATGAAGAGTCGTAAATTGTTGCTTTGTTAGCTCTAGGCATGTTGACATTCTAGTTTTTAGTGTCATATTGTTCTGGTTTGTCAGAGTTGATTATATGTTAGCGAAAAAAATTTTAAACTATTTTTTGGTTGACTTTTCAAATCGTTAAAATTTTTTTGATCAGTCATGATTAGGCCTGAAAAAAAAACTCTGCCATTCTTGAACAGTTTTGGCATGGTTTGCGGCTCGTTCAAACTTATTTGTTTATATAAAGAAGGCACTTGATGGTTAAACTATGCAAGCCTGAATCCAACCAAGCTTGCGCCAATGTTATATTCTCATGGGTTACTAAGAGTATATGAACATATGGCAGGAATACTGAATTCAAACTGCAGGCTGATGTCATGAATGCCGTGCGTCGGTTTTTTTTCGAAATCCTATAGTTACATGTTGAATTTGGATCAAATACCTTGACATTTGCATACTCACCTAGTAAGTTTTAGAAGAGTTGGCTTGTCAACAAATTTTTTTGATAGCCAAGTTTGATTAGTGTTCTTTCGCTAGGGGTTATAGCTTAGGCCTTAGGCATTCTCAAAACTCTGAATTTTTTTCTGGGGGTTGAGGTGCGCTGGAGATCTTGACTGCTCTATTCCATTAGCGATAAGCACATCACTGTTTCTTTCCTTTGCTGTTGATTACTAAGAAAACCATAAAATGTTGTTATGAACTGTTTTGTTTTTTGCTTATAAGTAGTTCCTGTTTATAATGGAATGTCAATTGAAAATGGAACTTAGAAAATCTGGATGAAATATGAGAACAGCGTAAGCAATGAAACTTTGCATTGTTGAGTATGTTACATTGATATCCAAAACCTGTATTTGCCTATTACTGATTCAGAAAAGGAAAAAAAGCCTGAGGTATAGTATTTGCATATTTTTCTTGTCTCTTTAGCTTTGCCTGTTCAACATAGGAGAGTAAAACAGAGATGTTGAGGTTAATATTTCAATTTTATATATTACGTACAATATAATATGAATTTCTCATGAGTCTTAGAAGTCAGTTTACTGGGAAATGGTATTTCCTGACATGCCCTTCCTGTGAGTTGAACGACCTAGGGATGTGTAACTCCAGGAATGGGTCAGAAGGTGAATTGTGGATTTTGCTCCACAATGTCAAGATTGCAAAGGAAAATCTTGTCCTTTGACCAATTTTTTCTCCAAAATACTCCAATTTATTTTTTTTTCCTCTCAACTACTCTACCTTTTAGCATTTGGAACCATGGCCAAGGCCTTCTTTGGGTTTGTGCACACCAATATGCTAAAATTATTTATGGAATAAGGCAGACGTTGCTGAGCATCGAGTTTGAAGCCTAAAAGCATTTGTGAGTATTGACTTTGATAGTCTTCGCTTTTCTCAATTGAGAGTCCTTGGTCTTATCTTGACTTTGGCAATTGAGCAACCATCAAGGCCTTCTTACAACATAATCTAAGTTGTTGAATCAGAAATCTTAATGTCAAGTTTAAATGTCTAAGTGTCCAGCCTTCTATGTGGTTTCTCTGCATCTTGCTGGGGAAGAGTTTGGCGAGACCCTAGAATTTGTCAAACATTTCTAACTGGCAGAATTATTGAGGTTGTGTGATACCGAACAAATTTTCAGCATGGTGTTAGAATGTTACTAGTTCAGTTAATCGAGTAACCACTAATGGAGGAGAAATGGCACTTAGAATAATAACAGAAACGTGGTGATGGATTCGTCCAATCAAGAACAGAGCAGCGAAGTCGTACAACTATTATTGCTTAAGCGCATTATGCACATCCACAACAGAAGCTACTCACTACTTTATGTAGTTTAATTTTCAAATAGGCTAGTGTAACTAATTGTTTGGTGGAGTCTGGATGCAGTATACACCCGCAATTGATATCTGGAGTATAGGCTGCATATTTGCTGAGGTTTTAACAGGCAAGCCACTTTTCCCTGGAAAGAATGTTGTTCACCAGCTGGATTTGATGACTGATCTGCTTGGGACACCGTCAATGGATACCATTTTACGGGTATACATCTACTCCCTTAAATCAGCTGCTCAAGCTTATTTATGTGTTCTCTGAAAACTTGCTCTTTGTATTGACTTGTGTTTTTGGTCCAGGTACGAAATGAAAAGGCAAGAAGATACCTTACTAGCATGAGAAAGAAACAGCCTGTGTCTTTTGTACAGAAATTTCCTAATGCAGATCCCTTAGCACTACGACTATTAGAAAGGCTTCTGGCTTTTGATCCCAAGGATCGGCCAACTGCTGAACAGGTTTGTCATGGAATAGTAGTTCCTTTACTTCTGTCTTGCCAAGTTTTTTAGCTATATGCGTGAGAGCTAGGGATGTGCTTTACTCTGGTATTCTTTAATAATGTTTCTGTAGTTTCTTCATCAATATTGGAGTGATGTCCACTGTCCACATATGATAATATCTTGATTTCTTCACTCTCTGAATGTTTAATGTTGGGGCTTTTTTTTTGTGTGGCGTTTTATCAGGCTTTGGCTGATCCTTACTTCAGGGGACTGGCCAAAGTTGAGAGGGAACCATCTTGCCAACCAATTACAAAGATGGAATTTGAGTTTGAGAGGCGAAGGTTTACAAAGGAGGGCATACGTGAATTAATTTTCCGCGAGGTACTAGAATACCATCCTCAGCTGCTTAAAGATTACGCAAATGGGATTGGAAGAACAAATTTTCTCTATCCGAGGTTATGATTGTTTCCAAGTTGCTTTTTTTGTTAATGCATTTATCCATACCAACAATGCACGATGTGCATTGCGTGTGAATAATTTAAATAATTTTTTTGTTGAATCTATAAAAATATAAATTGTGTAATTAAATTAAATGATAAATTTGGTGTCAAAAAATTAATCTATATTTTATTTCTTGTTAAATTTAATTATTGAAAAAAAAAAATTAAATATAACATATATTTGATCGTAGAATCTAATTTGATATCTATATGTATATAACAATATAATATAGATTCATATTTGCTTCTTCATATAAATATAGGCATAGATATGGAAAATTTTATGTAAGTGTACTACTTATAAAGGAGTTCAAAAGAATTTAGAAGTCAAATACTATTAAGAAAAAAATTCAAAAGAACTTGAAAGTTAAATTATGTATAAAAATAAAAATTATATGAAGGTATAAAGATATAATTGATTTTGTAAAAATTAGGCTAGTAATACACGAGGTACGTTGCACGTGAACATATTTAGATAATAATTTTTTGTTAAACTTATAACGAATATAGATTATATGTGTAATTGAGTTGAATAAATAAATTATGTGTTGGAGAATTAATTCTTATTTTAATTTTTACTAAAACTAGTTATTAATCTATACAAGTATTATATAGTAATTTGAGTTATTAGAATTACTATTATTATTATTGACCTAAAGATATAAGAATAAGTAAAAGGAATGGCTAGAGACCTAATGCTATGTAATAAAAAGAGTTTTGATAGGACATGGAAATAAAAATGATGACATTAATAAGGATATGCTGGGTATGATCGACTTAACATTATTAAATAGGGATGAAATACTAAATCAAAAAATTTTCACATATGTTGATATTTATAAGTAGTATAGATTAGATAAACTTTTGATCTTTTTGGTGCATGTTCTATGCAGTGCTGTTGATCAATTTAGAAAACAATTTGCACATCTAGAAGAAAATGGTGGTGAAAGCGGGCCGGTGATTCCGCTTGAGAGAAAGCATGTCTCTCTACCTAGGTACATACAAATTCCAGCAGATTTCCTCCCATCTCTTTGTTGTCCTCAAAGCTTTACTTGTCAATTAGATTATGAACCATTTAAAAGATACTTGTTTCATTGTTTGTATGCATTACATGTGTATGCCAAGTATCATTGACTAAACATTGAGAGCTAATGATAGGGATTGTCAAGGGATTGAATAGACATAAAATTGAAGATTAGATTTAATTTATTATTAAATTATTTGGTTAGCTAATAATCATCTCATTAGGAGATTTAGATAGAGTTTTAGTTGAAGAGTACTTTTTATTTAGGTAGGATACTTGTTAAGTAATGGTGTAATTCCAGTTATTTGAATTAGATTGAAGACTATGAATTGATTAGTTTTTCTGCGAAGATTTGTGTTTTTTGACCAAATCCTTGCGATGATTGGTTATCCCCTTCCTTTCTCTTTCCTCTCTACATCAATTGGTATTAGAGCCTAATTTCAGATCTAAATCCTTTCTACTTTAATTAATCTAGATTCTTTGCGAGTGACAATTATCGTCATCAGTTGCGTAATGCTGTCTTTGTTCATCTTTCAACAAGTTGTACATAGCACCTTGACAAGGAACCACAACCTTCATCACCAATCATCATCATTTGCAAGGAAAAAAAAATTCAATCATTCCAAGAAAGCCCAACAAGAATCGGACCAAAAAAAAAAAAAAAAAAAAAAAACCCAATACCTAGTTTACTCCAAACCAAGTTTGACCCAAACAAAGTAACCCAGCCAAACACCGGCCACTTTCTAAAACTTCGTCTACAACACTCCAAACACCATAAAAAATTATGTATCTACCCCCAATAGTTTAACAACTTCCAAGTTGTCCCCTAAAAATTTTGAAATTGAAGTTTCTACCCCAAAAAGTTTCAGAAATTATGCTTTGGCCCCAATTTTTTTTTAAAAATGTTGACCCCAAAAGTTTCTAAAAGTATAAATTAAATGCAAAATTTTTAGAAGTTTCTCAAAATATGACTATCTTGCCTCCTCCTACTGGTCATCTTACCAATTAGTAGAGCGAGGGGAGATTTGACCATCAGGATGGTTACCAAACTTTTGAAGCATGTGATGCTAAGCTTGATTCACTCCAAGCATCAATGATCTCAATGAAAGAAACCTTGAACATCTTTCCCTCGCTAAAAGCATCTGTAGATGCCTTGACCGTCTTTTTTGGAGTTGAACTCCCAATCGACAATTGTGTGAATAAGGTAGATTTTGATTCATGTTCTTCACCTATTGATTATCAACAAGTAGTTGAACAAGCTCTGTCCCACGAAGTTCCTACACAACTGCCAACTCTAGGTTAATTGAATGATGAGCTAAAATTAGACACCGTTAATGAGCCTAAAAATTTTCCAAATCATACATTAATTGCATTTGATAAGCCGATTTCAAGGGATGTTCTTACAGATGAAGTTAATCAAAATTCAAAGCGTCTCACTACAAATGGAGTTGCTATTTTGTCTCTACCAGTTTATATGCTTCCTTCATCTATATCAGTGTCTGTGGACAAGATTGTGAAGAATGTAACACATAAAGGGATTGTTTTCTACTCTGGGCATTTACAATGTTATTTTCTTGGAATGCAAAGCTTATTCAGACCTCTTGGAATTCTTCTACCTTTACAACTCTTCAGAGAAGAGTTTGTTTCAGCCGGAAAAAATTGATAGGGATTGGATAGACATAAAAGTAAGATAGATTTTTAGCTAAAGAGTATTTTTTATTTAGGTAGAACACTTGTCCTATAAATAATAGTGTAATCCAAATTCTTTGAATTAGATTGATGAATATGAATTTATTAGTTTCTCTGTGGGGATTTGTTTTTCTAGATGTAATCCTTACGAGGATTGGTTATCCTCTTTCTTTCCGTTCCCTATCTACATCTGCCAAGCTATCCATATGGTTAGATTTTTATGTTATATTGGAAGCAAATGGTTGTTTATTGATAAATACCTGTGTAAGTCTTATCAACATATTTCTAACATGCTTGAAATATTAGAGGTGTACGTTATTTAACAAGGGTCCGGTGAACCCTGAGCACTCAATTCAATGGAAGACGGTATATGAATATGTCGTCTCCCCTCTGGTGTACACTGGACAAGTTCACCGTCAAATATCTTTATTCATAAATATTTGACCAAATCAAACTGGAATTTGAATGCCCAAAGGAACATTGTTCATAAATAAAATTGGTGATTCTTGAGAAGAGCCATAAGAATATTGTGTAAAATATCCAATCTTCTTTGTTTTGTCAAACAACATATACTCTTTGAACTCAGCTCAATAAAGCCTTCTCCAGACTATTTGGTTTCGGCTAGTGGACAGATATATATTAGCGAGACTGCACACCGGTGTGATGTACGAGATTAGAACTTGTCATGCCCTTTTCCAGTTTCCTTCCTCTTTTACCCTTCTCACCCTATTACTTGGGGAATTAGAGAATTATAGGAAGTTTGAGAATTAATGTTGATGATTCTTAGTTAGTGGGGGAGTGGATGGTGGTTATAATGGACATGATAGAATAGGGCTAGAGGAAACCTTTCATTTCTAATTTAATAATTCAAAATTCTAAGGAATTAGAAAATAAGGAGGGAAGGTATGTCAAACTCTCTCCCTGTGAAATTGATTGTGGTGTGTGCAGTTAGATTTTTATATTGCATTTGAAAATTTTGAACCTTCATGTTTCTTTGAAGTTTCCATCCAAGTACCTATACCTATTTATTCCACACTTGGACACCATATTTATGTTAATGGGCCTTAATTTCTGGATTGAAACTTGTTGAATGCAGCCTTAAGCTGCTGATATGCATACCCAAGTCCATGTACGGGAGAAATATATGAAATAAAGTGCAAAGCAAACTAACAAAATAATTGATTGGAGGCATTTCATGTTCCATACTACATATTGTTGTTTGGATAGTGTTGATTGCTTGGTTTGTTGGCTGCTCTAAGTACAAGCACGAAAAGCTGTAATAATTGTTGCCCTGCAACCTTTACCTGTGTTCAATATAGATAAAAATGGATAGGGAAGAAAGGACAAGTTTGGAAGAGTTTAGTATCAAGATAGTAATGATCCATCTTGTTTAACTTTCTAACTCATTTTAATTAATTATTTGTCTAGCAATTTTGAGAGTTCAATTTTCTGACCTTGTATGTGATTTGAATCAAATAAAACCTGAATTCATTCAAAAATGAATAGTCCAATATAAGATACTAGCCTTAACCCTTACCGATGCAATATAAAATCTGAGCACCCAAAAAATTGGTCCTATTGTATCAAATAGTAATTTTTTTCTCCTTTCTTTAATTACATGATTTGAAATTAATTTGTATCCATTATTTAAAAAAAAATGGCTAAATTTTCTCAAAATATATGATCTAAAAAAAAAAATTAATGTGTACATTATCATATATGAACAATGCCTGAAATAAAAGTTATATTGAGCCACAAATTAATCAAAAATTTTATGATTCAACTTTAATATAAATTAGAGATGTGATAGAAATGGGCGGGAAAAATATGGGAGAGATAAAATTTAAAAGGCTAGATAGAAGAAAGAGATTGGAGGGAGAAGACCTAGTCTGGTCTTTGTTAGTGTGAAAAAGAATGGGTTGAGTGGGGTCTTCAAGTTTGGGGAAAAATTTTTTGGGGATGATTTTGACCCATTGGATTGAATGAATCTCAGCCAGGCTAACTTAAAGATTCAAAATCAGTCATGTTTTATTATATAGATGACTACTTCTGCCAAAATATAATTTGACATGACAACTCTAAATCAAAACAGCTTTCCTTACTAGAATTGAGTTTTTTAAAGCAAAAGACCAAATTGACAATCTATGACAATAGTGAAGTCTAAGAAACAAAGTGGCAATGATTCTGTGAAATGTTTGGTGTTCTGACAGATGGGAAAAATTTGCAGCTTTTAACATGACTGCTGAAGTTGTGAAAGTTTTGGTGTTGGGGGCAGGAGAGTTAAATTGACATGAAGGGACACAGGGTTGCCACGGTTGCCTTATTTCCCCTACTTTGATATTTTTAATTTGAAAACATTATAGCTAGAAGCTTTGATTTAAGCCAAAAAATGTGTAAACTTTTGGGGGCTGGAAGTGGTCGAGATATAGACTTGATTTGTAATGGTTAATGCCTTCTTTTTGCAAGAGATATGGGTCCCTCGCTTGCGCTTTTCGTCCATACTGGGAAGAAAGCTTTCTTGCTTGCATTGGGAAGACATAATATGTTGTCTACTCTTTTATCCTTTGTGTTACCAGAGCTAGTTTTCTTGTTTGACTTTGTTTGATGCTTTTTTATCAATGTGTTTGTGTGGATCGAGGGCCTTAATACTTGCGTTAGATACATATGGTATAGAGCTATTATTAGTATTCTTGACGTTTCAGAGTCCTAGCTTGTGTCATGTTTCTTTACTTTGGGTTGCTGCTTGTAGTGATTATGAATTTATGATCCTCATCATTTTGGTTCCCTTGATTTTTGCAGGTCTACCATTGTACACTCAAATACGATCCCTCCAAAAGAACAACTAAATGTTGCTACCTTAAAAGATCAGCAAGTTGATAAAGATTTGTGCAATAGGAAGTCTAGAAATTCAGATGGAATAAACGGGAGTTTGACAAGAAACTCACAGGCTCCACAGAAGATCCCACTGGGTACTTTTCTATTGTTGTATTGGAATTTTTGCTTCCCTTGTTACATTTCTACGTCTTTTGACACTACTTTGTTGTTCAGCCAAACCTGGAAAAGTTGTGGGGCCAGTTGTGTCATATGAGAGTGGAAATGTCAGCAAAGAGTGTTATGATCCTAGAACATTGGTCAGAATGCTCCCTCCCCAAGTTATCCCAACAACATATTGTCATGGGCGGAGTGGCCCAGGAAAGCAGGAAAGATCAGTGACAGGGAAGGAATCGTCTTTGCAAACTAAACATATCCCTCAATGTGGCATGGCCCCCAAATTAGCCCCGGATATTGCCATCAACATTGACACCAATCCATTTTATATGACGAGGGCTGGAGTGATGAAGAGGGACCATCTGGATGACAGAATGGCAATCGATACAAACTTGTTGCAGGCTAAAGCTCAGTACAGCGGGATTGGTGCCATTGCTGCTGCTGCACACAGAAAAGTAGGTACGCTTCAGTTCGGAATGTCCAGGATGTACTAGGAGAAAGGTTTGAGAGAAGTGGGTATTCTAGGCAATCTGGAATGGAGCAAATCCAGAGAGTAAGGGCTCTTCTTAGGTGAGGGATGAGGCTTGAAGGCTTGGCCCTCTGTCCGGTGGTTGTACAGAAGGTTAGGATTGGGGATGGATGCCTTAGGGTAGTCACCCTTCTCAGGTTGTCCTAGACTATTTTAATCGTTGTCATGTGAAAGTACATATTAGTGAAAACAATTTATATACATTCAATTCATAAATGCTATCTTTCTGTGTCATAAATGCCTTATTAGTGGTTCAAACGGAGACATTGGGATATGAAATTTTGATTGGTACTCCAATTATGTGTAGGAGTTTCAGTTGAAGAATAGAATCAGCATTTTGGGAATTAGATTATGGGTATAAGAGTTGTTGGAAGTTTGATTCTAGCTGGAGGTCTTTTCGGAAACTGCCAACGTTTCCAATGGTTAGAGAGTTATGTTACTTCTAAGAATGGGCCCTGCGAAACTATGGCCCACAGCAAGCTGCATCAGTGGGCTTGCTACTTTATTTGTGGTTGATATATGAAGTTATCTCGATGTTTTAGTTTCAGTACTTTCAAGAGTCTTGATTGACTCCATAAACCAGGTTTTGTAGATGATGTGCGAATCGAAGAGTTTGCATTATTGTCACGAGTCTATGCAGCACTTGATTTGCACGGTGTTAAAGAAAATAAAGAAAAAGTTCTACTCAGGTGAAGAATTAAAAATGATACTGGAGATGAACTAAATTCGGTGAGTTTTTTGTGGGTGAATGTTTAGTTTTAGTTTTTTTCTTTTTGTGGCAACTTGTTTGGGCTTCAATTCTTTGAACTGATTAAACAATAAATTCTATCACTTACCAAATGATATTTATTTTTAAAAAATTTAGCATTTAACATTTAAAATTCAATACTGAGTTTTCGGTGCTTTACTTCGGACATTATCACATTGTGCTCTTCTCATGTTAGATGAAAACCAAGTACTTCCATATACCCCGGACCATTTCCATCTCACATCAACTTTTACTATTCATTCTCATTGAGATCATGCTTCTAAAGAACAAAACCTTAACATTAAAAAAAAAAGCTCATTAATCGAGATAGTGGTAAAACTTTAATAATTCCGACATTTGATGTCATAGCTAAGGCATATAGAACCATTTTTTCGTGAAAATTGATCAAAGACACAGATTCTAGATCATTTGTGTTAATAGGTACAAGCAACTTATTTTGGGGCTTAAAGCAGCACATCCTTTTTTTTTAAAAAAAAATTAATGGTAAGAAGTATATTTTACTAGCATTAAGTTTTTTTATGACAATTTCAACCCTCCATCTCTTTCCTAGTATATTTAATAGGAAATGTAATTTGAACTTAAAATGTAGATTTCATTAATCACAACTATTGAATAAATAGTGAGTCTTAATAAATATTGAGACTTACAATGAAATCAATAACAATGATTGATTAAGTCTATATTTTAAATCTATGCAACATTCCTTCTTTCTGCTCTACCGAAGAGAGCCATTTCTCTCTTTTATCGCTCTATTTCCTCCTCTCTCTCTCTTATCCTTTATTTATTATTATGTTCCATTTGATATGTTGAAAAAATAGAAGGATGAAAAGTTGGAAGGATAGAAACTTGGAAGCAAGTTGGGACCCGATATAGAGAACTCCATTAATTATACATAATTGATTCTCTATTCGAATTAAATCCATTAACCAAGTTATTATATATAATCAAATCCATAATTAACCATAATTTTTCTTAATTCTAATAAAATCCCTTAACTAGAATAATTATGTTTCTAAATTAACACCAAGTCTCATCAATCTCATCATTTATGTCACTTGTGATTGCATTTGGTATAACTTGTTAAAGTAAAAACTATTTTAAAAATTAGACTTTACCCGATGAACTACTGCAGATGGACTTTTAATCAAACATTGATTGTTTGGTGGTAAAATATTAGACTATTGCCCATAACCTTGATTTTCAACTGAATGTTTTTGTATTGAGCAATGCTACACGGATTTAAAAAATAGACTTAAAAATTAAACTTAATAATTATAACCATTGAATTCATTGTAGGTCCTAGCATTTATTGAGACCCACTACCTATTTAATGTAGGTCTTAGCATTTATTGAGACCCACTACCTATTCAATGGTTGAGATTATCAAATCTAATTTTTAAGTCTATATGGGATTACTCTTTTGTATTTGGACCATATTTTGCAATTTTGGTGAAAGAATAATGAATGACATCTGTCTGTCTGCTGAGTGAATTAGTCAAGGTAGCTGGCCATGTGGCAACCATCTATATAATAAAACAGGAGTGTGTTTGAATTTTGTCATAGTTATATTTTTCCCTTCAAAATCTTCATCAATCACTTACCTCACCCATCATTCTTTTGTCCTACTCAAACATCAAGTCACATCACTTATTTATATCATATGTTTAATCATTTATATATTTTTTTTCTAAAAATATTACATCACTCATTTTTATCATATATTTAATCATTTAATATTTGATTAATTTGTAGTTAATATATTTTAAAAAAAATTAATATAATGGAATCTATTTTTTGGACACTCGAATTTTATATTTTATTATGCCTTCAGGCACAGGTTATGACTAGTTTAATAAAATGCTAGAAGAGGCAAAGCTAGTCGATGTGAGTTTTTAAATTTAAGGAGAAGCAATTACATAAATGCCCATATGTTATGGAAATGAAGTAGTTACTAAAAAAATTCAAAATGTAGTAGTTATCCAGATTAATTGAGGCTCTGAAGCTAGAAAGATAGTAGTTTAGGCAAGAGAAGGTGGTGGAAAGAAACTGTTGTAACCATCGATGAAGAAGTTCCTATAAAAGAGGATTTAATCACAAAAGATGGGACACGATAAAACCCATGAAAGACTTGCAACTTGGGCATTCTTAGGAGTAATGATTAGTTTAGTTTTTGGATAGAATTAGTACTATAGTTAGGACTAGTTTATCGATCTTTTGTAAATAGAAGTTCATATAAAAATGAATTTTTTTTTTAATCTATTTGTTATCATTTCTCTTGCTTTGAATCTATGGATTGATTTAATCAAAGAAAAGTTTTGAAACACGACAGTTGAGTCCAACATCAAGTAGTCGCCTAAAACCACTATATCGAAGGATTATATCTTTTGAGCGCTAGAGAAAATCCTTTGTTTACCCAAACATTTTTAGCATGCTTGGTGGCACAACGTTACTAAGTTGGATCAAGAATGGTACGAACCAAAAAGCAAGATGAGGTAATGGCTGGAATGGAGTGTACCGAATGCATGGAGGTCACACTCAATGGTGATAACCATGTTGAAGGAAGTTTGAGTTCCAATCAAGCGGAACTTGTGATGCAAGGAAATGACCAAACTAGTGGTCAGAGCAGTGCATTAATGAATGATTTCGTGCAAAACTTGAAACAAGTATTGCATGACCCTTATTCATTATTTAATGAATGCTATGCATGAGTTATTGAGTGTCGAAAAAAAAAAAAGTCAATTCACATTAATCAAAGGTCCTCCAATATGGTTCTAAATAAAACAGTAGAGGAAGAAAATACTGACCCAGTGAGGTTTCCTGTGGGGAATCAAGGGCCACCATAATGGTACCAAACATATGGCCTGGTATTCAACACCAAAATCATTTTAATATGATGTTCGAAGGAGAATATATCGTGGCTTTCCCTAACTTCTATTGTCCCATAAATCTTAAGGGTAGAAATGGGCCAAGAATGGCTCAAGATTCACCCTAGGAGAGGTTGTGAAAGAAATCTTATGCCACATGCGGATCCAATTGAAGAAATGAACCCTAGACTTGGGGGGTAACCCTTTGAAAACACGAAGTTAATGATAATATGGCGGTTAACCAAAACTAGAAAATGGAAATGATTCAAGATCTATATTGTCCTAGCCTCCAAAGAACATAATGTCCAATTTTTTTGAAAGCTGGGGAGATATGCGCAGTAGCTCTTCCCTCATATTTATATACAAGGGATGCTAGACACAACCTAGAGGGTTGAATAGGTTAATTTAAATTATGGCTTGAACAATTACCAAATTCAAAGATTGATTTGTCAATTATCCATTTGAACCCCTTTTCAACAACCAATGAAACTCGTCATGTGATTGGACGTAAGAATATGTCAAGTGATAAACAAATACTCCAATTCAACACAACAAGAATTTCCCCAAAGCCAATGATTTACAAAACCCTTTTCAAATAATCAATCATTCAAACACATCGTGTGCGTGGGTGCAATTGCAAGTGTATATGCAAAATTAAGGCAATAAAGAACAAAATCAATTTATTTATGTGGAAACCCAACTGGGAAAAATAGAAAAACCACTCTGGATTCACCTAGCCTAATCTACTAATTCAAAGTCAATTTACAAGTACTCAAAACTTATACCTCAACCAATACTATTGTTAAATGATCATTTCTTTCAATAAATCTCTCATCTGGATTCCACCCACCAAAGTCTTAAGTAGCTTCACTTGAACACCTCCACCACAATGGATAGTTTAGGCTCTTCGAGCGATCTTTTGCGCCAAGATCCTCGAGATGCACACTCCGTCAATGAGTTTTGTAAAATCAAACAATATTTTCTTCTCCAAGGTGAGAAGTTGAATTGAAGAATCAAGAAGGATGGCCTTTGGTCTTAGGAATCTAGGGTTGTTCTATAGCTTGCTAGATGTTAGAATGCTAAAAATAGGCTTACAAGAGGCTTACCCTATTTATAGGTCTTGAACTAGGTTAATCTCGGGGGTCCAAGTAACCCACAATTTATAAATGATTGCTCAAGTAGTGGTACAACTGTTAGGGGATGGTTGTTGCTGGAATGAACATAGAATTCAAACTGTAGAAGAGGAGTAGAGACCGATCAAGCCATCATTAGATTGCTCGAGCCATCTGCTGGTAGCTTGAGTGTCCTAAAAGTAGCCAGTGGCGGTCCGTA